GAGGCGTAGCTATGTGCAGTTTCCCAGAAAACATAAGCGCAGAAGGACTCAGCAAGTTTTGCCACTGCTTGCAAAAGGACCAGGGTTTTGGCACAACAAGCAGCAGTTTTAGTTGTCAGGAACAGTCTTGCAGGCGTTTCCTGTGTAAGCCAGAAGTCTGGTCAGTGCAATAGGTGGATCAGGAGAGACAGTAGTACCTATACTCTATCAAAAATTTTTTTAGGAGCTCAGCTTCCCTATAGTTACCATATACCATCTAGTGTTACCAAAGGAAATTGCAATTTCTAATTCACTATTCTTTAAATGAAAGATGAAGATGGCAACAACATATTTTTATATTTTGCTTTTCTTTCACTAAAATAAAATATACTATGAGTGCACTGCCTCCTCCTTGTGATTAACAGTTTTTCCATTTATCAAGAATTTTGTGATTCTAGTTAGTTTTCAATATTTCATTTCTGAAGATGTATAATTATACAAAAATTTCAGCTTCAATAAAGTTGAAATAAAGTCTGCCTTATAGCTACAGACATACATCTTATATGTAGTTACAAGTTATTTTTAAGTACTACAGATGTAAAACTCAGGGGCAAATTTAAAAGAAATACAAAATCTAACCGAGTAATTTTTGCAAATATCATTATTTTGAAGATCCCAAATATTTTTTTTTTCTAATACAAGGTTAGTATTCCTTGTTGATGGCGAGGAAGTCAAAGAGAAAGATATTCTAGTGATGTTGAGACTAAGGCGTTAGGTTTGCTGTTGGGAAAAGAAGGCTTTAATCCTGGAAACTCTGACTGGAAAACTAAAAGATTAAAACACACTGTATTGTAATGCAGTAATTGTTTTGGGGTGAGAGTTTTCTGCTTGTCTGCATCACCATATGGATGACTTCAATTCAACAGCAACATAGACTGTGATATGATTCTCATAGCTGGGATAATGGAAAAAGTCAATGTTTACTTATTGGCAGAAGAAAATTTCACCTTGTCTGCCAAGTGGGGCAATAAAATAAATTTGTTTTGTATGCTGTGTGGACTTTTTTACTGCTACTAAATGAAAGCAAAACAATCATAAACTCTCCTTGGGAGTTCACAGACAGAATGGGTACAGATCCACCAAAAGTAACAGATTGAGAGAACTGAGAAAAAGAATTTGCTCTCAGCTCCTCTTCTCCCACTTCTCCTCCTCAGCGTTGTTCAGCTTCCTGTTTTTAAAGCAAAATGGGATTGTTTTCATGACTAACCAGCACAATCCTTCCAAAGCTGTTAAATAACAGCATTTTTGGCAGAAGTTACAGCATATCTAGATTATGTAAGCAAAATACAGATATTACAAGAGGTACAGTAGTTGCATTTTCAGACGCCATTTTAGCCCATAACTAACACTCTGTTCTGAATCTACAAATAGTGACTGGAAATCAGTTTAGCTACAGGGCAGCAGGATGTAAGTGTAGATTGCTGAAACAGACATGAATCTCAATTTCCAGCTAGTCAAAACGAAAATCACTTGCAAACCCAAGGAGGTTTTGGACTCCCATTGATCAACTTACATTTTGTACATCACCAGCACAACTTCAATAGAATTTCAAGGAAGTTGACGTGAATCCCATTTTGCCTCACTGACACCATCTTGAACACTGCCCTTGCACTCTTTGCCCGGCTGCAGAGAGCCAGGATTGCCAGGTGCCAGCGACAGAGAATGAGGGAGGCAGCCTGATGCTGGCCGCCTGAGGAGTCCCTGGCTAGCTCAACTGGCTGCCAGGCCACTCAGCACTGCAAACATATTTAAAATACTTGGAGCACAGGGGACAAGCTTGTGCCTTGGACTGTAAAAAACTACAAGTATCATTTGTAAAAAGAAATAATCCTGGGAAATTTGTGTATCTTAGCCTTTGATGACTGTAAGAAATTCACCACTTCAACAGAAATGGCACTACAGTATGAGGAATCTCATGCTCTAGGACAGCTTAGAGGAAAGGAATGCAGTGAGTGATAAGTAAAAGGTGTTCGTGAAATGAATGTACCACTGAACCAAAATCAGGATTTGTGTTTAGTATATTTACACATTGGAACTCGATTCTCAGCCCCTCTCTGGCTCCTTGCATGGAAGAGCCAAGGGTACACCTGCACTTGAGTAGAGTGCTGTCACCTTTACATCTTCTCTGTTCAGTACAGAGGGTTTGTCGAAGGTGCAGGAGTGCGGAATGGGTGTGATATCACACATCATTCACACTTTTGCTTCTAGTGCAACTTGCAGCAGTTCTGAGGTTCTCCACACTAACTCCCCAAACTGACTCAAAACCACAGCAGAAGAAAACTGTTTTTCTCCCCTCTCATCCACAGCAACAATTGAGCTCTTGATGAATATAAGACTGTATTAACTAATAATTTAGTGGCAAGCAAAAGACATAAGTTCCACAGTGATGACATTGTAGACAACAATAAAAATAAACAAGGAGAAACATAGGAGACAACAGAACTGTGAAGCAAGCAGGGGTATAAAAGATATAATTGAGGTGGCTTCAATTATAAAAGACAGGTACAAAGAAACACTAAAAAGGATATTTAAATAATACCCATTCTGACTGAAATAAGAGATGTTACTAAGGATTGATAATAGCGTAGGTAACATTTTAGAACTATAATCTTAACAGAACTTAAGCAGATCATTTCTGATGCCCTTATTCTAATCTATTCAACTAGATACCTTCCATGCTCCTTCTTTCTTTAGCCTAGTAAGGTACAATGCATTTAATTCTTTGGTTACTAGCTTTGGCACTATCGGATATTCCTTTAACTGCCACGCTTGCTCCATAACTCATGGAGTGTAAAATAAAATCTTTCGTTCACTAGCACATTTTCTCAGTCGATCTACAGTTGCAGTGAAAGTCACAAACTTACCCAAACACAGCCACAGAGTTCTTTTATACTAAGTACAGCCTCCAAGGTGCTGGTTCTCTTAAAAAACTGCATGCAGTGAGAGTAGCTTTGGTTGAACTCTTTAGATCCCTTAAGAGCACAAGCCTGCTTTCCTTTTTTAGGTCAGATTCTAACAGAAAGTGACAGGAATTTGGCCTCAATAGCTTCCACAGGATCAAGGATTCCTGTAAATTTCAGTAAAGGATTAAGGCTATTGTTGCTGAGCACACACTGCCAGTAAGGGACCTTTCCTTCTCTCTAACCTCTAGTCTTTGACTCAGCCTCACACAGATCTCTTTAAATAGCAGCATAGGTTACCATGTAAATGTTTGTCCTTGGATGCAAACATGTCACATTCATTAAAACCAGAGGTTTTAATGGATAGGCTTTTCTAGACTATTAGAAAATAGAAAGTGATTTAACCAAATGCATTTCTTTTAGTATTCCTGATTACATTTAGAATTTAGTATTCTTAGAATTTTCATCTTTTATGTTCTCTGATGCTTGTGATTTCTGGATGTTAAAAATCCAAAAGTGCAGCCAACAGTAACTTTAGGTCTAAGAAGCCCTTTCCTAGACAGCTTACACATGTAGTCATGTTGAAACATTTAGTTTTCCATTTCCGTGCAATGAGTACCTGGATACAAAGCCCCTCCTTCCTCATTTAAATGAATATCATTCCAGCCTAAATTATGTATGGATTACTGTGATTACTGTTTCGATTCTGGTTTATGCAAAAGTTAATACAGCAGACTTCTCAAATATTCCTGACAACAGCAGGCAGCATAAGCCTCCTTCCTGCACTCCATCTAAGGGTACAGCTCAGCTTTGGGACAGTTTGACCCCCTGCAGTTACATCTGGGTCACCCTCACTGTGGGAGGCCACCAAAGCATCCAAACCTCTACAGCCACCCAAACATGGCCCAGCAACTCACAGCAGCACAAGTCACTGGCCTGGTTAAGCTGGAGCAGTAACTTCACCTGACCGTCAAGCCGTCAAAATTTCCAGGCAAATGAGGAGCAGAATGTGCTCCTGGAAAGGGCAGCAACTCTTCATGCTTCCTGATGTATCCACCCTCTGGCCTGATCAGTGGGAACAGGCTCAACTGCAATCTGTCTTCACATTAATGAAGCGTGGCAGAGCTGTGCTAGTTCATCTCCCCCAGTGCTGCCACCAGCCACTTGAATGATGAACACCTAGGAAGCATGCCTGTCTACTTTCTGGACAGAGAGCTCCAGAGAATACACACACTGAGGCTCCCACCACTTCCAGACCTTTCACCCCTGGAGGGTGTATTTGGTTTGTGTAGCCAGGAGGCTACAGGGGTGGCTTCTGTGAGAAGCTGCCAGAAGTTTTCCCTGTGTCTGATGGAGCCAGTGCCAGACGGTTCCAAGATGGATCCATTGCTGGCCGAGACTGAGCCAGTCCGATGGTGGTAGCATCTCTGGGATACCTTTAAGAAGGCAAAAAGTCTGCACAACGACAACTTCAGTGGAGAGAGGACTGAAAGTAAGTGAGAGCAACAACTCTGCAGACACCAAGGTCAGTGAAGAAGGAGTGTGAGGAGAAGCTCCAGGTGCCAGAGCAGAGGTTCCTGTGCAGCTCCTGGTGCAGACCATGGTAAGGCAGCTGTGCCCCTGCAGCCCAAGACGGTCCATGGGGGAGCAGAGATCCACCTGCAGACCCTGGAGGAACCCACAGCAGAGCAGGTGGGTGCCCGAAGGGGGCTGTGACCCTCTAGGAAGCCCACGCTGGAGCAGGCTCCTGGGAGGACCTGAACCCATGGAGAGAGAAGCCCATGCTGGAGTAGGTTTGCTGGAAGGACTTGTGACCCTGTGAGAAACCCACACTGGAGCAGGCTGTTCCTGAACACCTGCACCCTGAAAATCAGGAGTGGGAAACTAGAAATCTTCCTGGGAAGAAGGGGAGGAAGGATGGTGTTCGAAGATTCGGGTTTATTTGTCATCATCCTGCTCTAATTTGACAGTCGTAAATTAATTTCCCCACGTCGAGTCTGTTTTGCCGTGACGCAACACGTGATTGATCTGTCCCTGTCCTGATCTCGACCCAGGAGCCTTTCACTGTGTTCCCTCTCCCCTGCCCAGTTGAGGAGGGCAGTGACAGAGCGGCTTTGGAGGGCAGCGACAGAGCGGCTTTGGAGGGCAGCTGGCGTCAGCCAGAGCCAGCCCCCAGAAGAGGCGAAGTTCTACACCGCAGGCCTGCGCCGAGCGAGGCCGCCATGACGCCGGCGGGGCGGGGCGGAGCTGCGCACGTGACGCCTCACGCTCGCAGCCCCGCCCCCCGCGCGTCACAGTGGCGCGTTCGGCTGCGCCGTCCCGCGCGTGACGTTGGCGCGTCCCGCTGTCCCGGCAGGGGCCGGAGGGAGCGGCAGGTGGCGGCGGAGCCCAGCGGAGCCCAGCCGAGCCCAGCCCAGCAGAGCGGCGCGGGCCGGCCGGCGGCCCGGCGGGTGAGTCCCCGCGCTCGGTGGAGCGGGCGAGGGGAGGCGGCGGCTGCGGCCACCAACGGCCGCTCCGACAGCGCCCCCTGCGCCGCCGCCCGAGGCCGGGCCGGCGCTGCCTCTCTGCGCCCCCCCCCCCCCGTCCCCCTCCCGCCGCCGGCGGGGAGCGGCCGAGCCGGAACGGGCGGCGCGGCCTCCCCGCGCGGTTGCGTGCCCCGAACAAAAGGCCAGCGGAGCTGCGCTGAGCGGGGCGAGGGGTGACCGCTGGGCGGGCAGAGCCCTGCCCGGTATTGTTTTGGCGGTGGGGAGGCTGGGGGGTGTCACCCACCGCCGCCCCGCCCGCGGGGTCACGTGCCGGCTGTCGGGGCTGCGGCGGCGGAGCTTTCCTCAGGAGCCCTTCCCCATACACCTTCCCCGAATCCCCCCGGAGGGGCCGGGGCCGCAGGCAGAACCTTCCCGGTCCTTCCTGCCTAGCTGGGTCCCTCCCGCGGAGCCGTGTCCCTGTGGGAGGCGGCGCCCCGGCGCCGTTGCGGGGCGAGCTGCGCGCCCTGCCTTGGGCTGGGCGCGATGTTCTCGGAGGCGTTTTCCAACCTGATTGATTCTGTGACTTGGGGGTTTCGTTGTGTTGGGCAGTAAAATAGGTCACGAGCATTAGTCGTGGCGGCGTCACGCGTGGCGGAATCCCCTGGCCGAGCCGGCGCGGCTCCTAATTCCCAGAGCGATGTGCAGCGCTTTAGTGTAGCTCCGTTCCTCCGGGTGCCACCACTGTGTCCGGCCGGCTTCGATCCCTGCCGGCGGCGGCTGAGCGGAGCCGCAGGGACACACGGACAGTCGCGGGAGCGCAGCGCGGAGCACCCAAAGACAAGTAACTAAGTGTTCTTAATGGGAGTGCTTTTGTTCCTTTGTGCTTGACGGTCACTGCTCAAGTGTTTGGATTTGCATCCCTTCGGAATGTTAAAATGGGTCCCGCGTTTGGCGTGATACGTGTTGCGGCTGCTGAAAAATCGTTGCAAAATATGAAGTAGATGGGAGGTTTTCGTAGGAACAAGACAGTCGGAATGGTGAAATAGTTAAAACCAACTAAAACTTAGGGGGGGTTAATTTTAGTACAACTTTTCTGTGTTACGACTGAGAAATACTGTAGGTTTTGTTACTGGTGTGTGGTATGCAAGTACGTATTAAAAAATTTCAAGGAGGAGTAGGGAGAAGAGCTTTAAAACGTTTTGGTTTTGTCAGGGTTGTAGTACTAAAAATCCTGTCTTGCTTGCTTTGTTAACTGCTGCCTCTGGACAGTGGACTACTCAAAAATAGATTCTGAAGCATCTCTAAAAACACACTACTAAAAATTACAGTTTGTAATGGTATTGAAGGCACAGTGAAATCTTAATCTTCATTTGGTCATCTTGAGTAAATTTTAAATATTGATTGTTTTTGCAAGAACTTTCTTTATGGTTTTGTGTGGTTAAAACTGTGGTTTCTTTACAAGTGTATCAGAGTGCCGGTTGTTTAAATTGCTGTAATGCAAAATCTGTACTAAGTGAAAGAAAAAGTTCTGTTCTTGTTTCCTTCAAAATATATTGCATCAATTTAGATGTAATTGAATTGTCATTTATTTAGAGAGCTGGAACTGCAGTATTTTTATAGCCTATTGAAAAGTCGTCTCCTGGTAAAGTCTTTATGTTGAAATTGATTTTTTTCGCCTGTCTTCTGTGCATGTTAATCAAGTCTATGTATAGGAAGAAATGTACTTACTTTAATTTCTGAAGCATTGATAACTTAGGATGAACCAGTCTCTGCTTCACTTTTTGCACACTGATTTTATTTGAGAAACAAACATTTTTCTTTGTTAAATAGATAAAAATAATAATTATGCTCAAAATTCAATATTAGTGCTCTGATTGTAGCATAGGAGAAGAACCTCATTTTCAATACATATGTAGCATTTTAATACTAAAACGATTGACTCTTCTGCACTTGACTATTCCTTTGTGATTCAGTTCTAAATATACAAATAAATGTTGGGGGTTATTAATGTGTAATAATGAATAAGGATTGACAGGCAACTTCAAGCCTTATCACAATCAACAATTCCTGAAGATACTCTTAAGTTTAAGAAATGGATACAGAAAAGTAGGCAAGAACGGGAAACAGGTTATTTATCTGTTGTGCTGTCCAGTGCCAGGGACAGTTTTAAAAGTACTTGATATAAGACTGAGTACCTTCAGCTGATACTATACTGACAGTAGCAGACCTTCATATAGGAGAGTAATTTTTCCTGTTAAATAAACCAGCCACCTTCTTTCTTCCCCCACTGTTTGGCTCCCGGTGACCTGGGGGGAAGGGCAGAATTCTAGGGATCTTTTTCCCCCTTCTACCCTCCCGTAACTGAGTTACAAATTAGGGAGCTTGATGGAAAAAAATCCAAGTATTTTATTACAGAAGAGAATTTACTCTTACAAAGTAATACTGTAGCTGTGGAGTTTTCAAGTGAGGAAATGGTGAATTTGTGATAGATGTTTTAGAGTAATCTCTATGGAGTTGCTGAATTTGTGTGATTAGCTGTCATTTGAAGTAGGACTCAAATAATAGTTTTTGTTTGGTTTGGTTAAAAGCTGATGTTAGCTGAATTTACCAATTGCTTGTGCTTGTTTGTTTTTAAAACGCTAAGATTTTACTTACAGAGGAGGTTTAAGACTGTAGGTAACTCATCATCAACATTTAGGAGCCAGCTTGTTAAAAATGTATGTTTCTGGTTTTGTTGTTCTTTTTTTAAATTTTTGCTGTTTTAAATAGAAAAGTTGAAAAATTGTGCTGGGCCTGATAACTTACTGGGCATGTTAATTTGATAGGCGCAGTTGACTGAACTGATGAGAAATGGTTTCATTCCATCTTAGCCTAGTAAAAACTTGACATTGTTCTTAAGGAGAACCTGAAGTCATTTTGGGAGATAGGTCTGGTGGGAAGTCCAGCACTTCAAGATCTTAAAATTGCATTCAAGGGGACAAAGAGAGCAATTACATGCTGTCTGAGCTTCAGTTTGGGAAGGGATGTTGCCCAGTTTGAATTTTTGCTCCTGATCCTTGTCCTTCATCTGTTGCATCTTTAAAGTTTCGAAGTAGGTGATATTCCGGAACAGGTGATAGGATGCAGGGCTTTAGGAAGGGATACTTGCAGGTTGCTGCAGAGATTGTTAACAGGAAAAAAGAGAAAATTAGTCGCTAAGTATAGAGCACAGCTCTTACCCACTTGACTTCAAAGGAGAAGTCATCATGCAGGAAGGGGCACGTGTGTAACCACAGGTGTTTGTCAGTTTGTTTAGTAGAATTTTCAAGACTGGCTTATTAAATAAATAACCATGTCATGAAACACAGGGGTTACCTGATGTCAGTGTGTGAACTAGTTCTTTTCAAGAGCTGTGCAGCAATTGGAAAGTTGCTCTACCACAATCCTGTAATTCTGCTTTAATTGGATTCTTCTAGGGATAATTACGTACCTTGCATGCATTTTTATTTCCTGAGAAATCTCCCAGAACTGACCCAACGTTTTTCAGCCATCTCCACATAACATTTGGTTTTATGATGTGCTACCTCTAGTAGTGGATTGTGAGAGGTAGGAGATAAAAGGCTTCAGGTGATACCTACCGAAGTAACAGAAAGCCGGCTTCCAAGATGAAGGACTGAACACCACACCCACAGCATCAAGCTTGTTGCAACTGTGCCTTTGATCGTAGAAAACATAGTATCTTGTCTCAGTGGATTAGTAGAGCCATCATTTTAACGCGATTGCAGCTCTTGATTTCAGATTGACGTGTGAAGAAAGGAAAGCTGCTAGAATGATGAGGGGAGAAAAGGTGTGGATAGGCTTGTTAATTTTTGCATTTTTCCTTAGGAGCTCTTTCTAAAAATATCTGGACAGAACATTACATGGAGCTCAGCTATAAAGTAAATAACATATTTGAATAATGCTTCTTACACTGAAGGCATCTGACTGCTTCACTCTTACGTTGTTAATGATAAATGTTCAATCATTTGCTGAAGGACTATAGCATAGAAAGCTATAATGGTCCATGTTCTTTCAGGGACTTACCACTTCTTGACTTTACTCAACTCTTACATATCTGATCTGCACTGTGTTTATGCTGAAATGATTCTTTACTTGAACAAATTGAAATTGAAGAGGTGACATTCTTACGTCTGCTTCAAATCATTCCTGTATGTAATGTTTTGCAGCAACTGGAAATTGTAGTTCAAAATTTAAGAATCATCCAGAAAGCTACAGTCCAGAAGGAGGATGCAACTCTGTGACTCCTCAGTCTTTTTACAGAGGATTCCCTGAAAATGGTTCTTTTAGATCAAGATCTTCCCGTTTAGGGTGTGAGAATGCAAGAGTGAAATCTTGATGGTCTCCCTTCCCTACTGGTTTCCAGTGATTATTATATATTTGTGAAACGACTTCGCTCTGGTTGGTGACATAAGCCAAATGTATGTGACTGACTTTATCTGCTACCCTGAAGAGGGGTATATCACCTCAGAGGTGTGGAGGCTGAGTTACATCCTTGTCCTCTTTTTCAGAGATTGCATGCCTTTCCACTGATGAACCTCAGAGCCCTTCAGCACGTTTTAAAGAAATAAAGGAAGGTTCTAATTAATTTTTGTTGTTGTTTGTTTGCCCTGTTAAGTATCAAATCTAGGTCATAGAGTTTATTCATAGGCTGGTCTGAGGACTTACATATGTAGATTTATAAAGAAAAAAGTGCTGAATGGTTCTGATGTTCATTCATTAAATGAATGTGTGTGATCTCTGTAAAAGAGGACAAGGATGCAAGGCTCTGAGCCTTGAAATCTGGAGAGGACCCAGGGGAAATCAGCTGTTTGCATGTGCTGTTTTTTCCTTAAGCATCTGATAGTAGTCCCTGTTAAGAGACAACACACAAGTCTAGGCTGTCCTTTAGAATTATATATCGATAGTTTTATAAACAGCTTTAGGAAGCCATTGTGACTTTTTAAATTGCCTGAATATAAGCGGTCATTTATCAGAGGTTAAATTTGCATAAACATAACATACTCCTAACTTTGGTCTTGTTTCTGCTTTTGTGTACATGGTCACTGCATGGAAATAAGCAATTAACTTACTATAATCAAAAATAATTTCCTTTTATAATACTTTAAAAAAAGATAATTTGCTTAACCCAGACATGAAAACAAAAACTGTGGGCCAAAATTGATTATTGCAAAAAATAAAACAGAATTCTGATGATATTCTTATTGAAAATAGCCTGCATCAAGTAAATAAAGGCATAGTAATTTCTTTTCTGTAACAGAACCATGGCATTGTATTTTGCTTGCTTATACCTTTGGACAACATTGTAATGGTGGTATTATTTGCTTTCCATTAGTTTGCAGAGAAGCTGAAACACTGTAGTGTACCACTGGGCAGGACAAGTCAGGAATGAGCCAGCCTTGGGAAGGAGGACCTGGAGACGTCTGAAGAGAGGACATTTTAGTCTTGTGGCATGCTTCAGTAGAAATTATTCAGAAAAAGTAAGCTGTCATTTTGTTAATGGACTTATACATGTCAGCTCCTTGATGGACTGTTTAGTTGCAGTTAGAATTTGCCTGGAATGAAATGAAAACATACTCAGTTTTGAGGTGG